TTAGGTAATCTTACTTTAATAGACAAGTAATGGAAGTAACTTCAAGCTACAATATTTCTGAATAATTATTGACCTGCTTTATATTTACTCATTTTATTTCTGGTACACTATAAATAATGCAAAATGTGTAGATTTTTTATATATAAATGGAAAAAAAATATGACTTACATTGGAGATTGAGTAAATTTGTGGCAAAATAAGATAAGTTAATAATTGTAAAAACTCCACTTTGAGTAACTCAAATAAGCACATGTACAAACAACAGGTGTTGACAAAATATTAATGAATGCCACTTAACTGGCATGTTTAAGCTCTGTATGTGGTCTATATGATATGCTCCATTGAGCATGACCTGCTAATTGTCAATTAACCAATCACCTATCACAATATACAGGAAACAGATGGCCCCAAGTGATAAACTAAATATTTGTATACAATTTACAATTATTATAAATACAGGAAATAATTATTTCATTTCTTGATTTTAATAATTAGAACAAACAGATAAACATTTAACTGTTTCATCAATCAGACAAGCTTAGTTTTAGATTTAACAAGATATGTTTGTAAAACATGTATGCCCCCTATCAGCAGCCAATTAGTCATGTGATAAGGTTATTATGCATGACTTCTGACCCAGTGATCAAACAATTAAAAAGGATTATCAAGTATCTACTGGTCATGACCTTAACCTTTGACCCCTTGACCCAAAACTCAATAGGGGTCATCTACTGGTCACGACCAATCATCATACAAAGTTTGAAGTTCCTAGGCCTAAGCGTTTTTAGTTAATTGATCAGAAACCGTTTTTACCTTCAAGGTCAATGTGACCTTGACGTTTGCCCACTTGACCCCAAAATCAATAGGTCATCTGCTGGTCATGACCAATCACCATACCAAGTTTGAAGTTCCTAGGCCTAAGGGTTCTTTAGTTATTGATCGGAAACCGTTTTAACATACAAGGTCAATGTGACCTTGACCTTTGACCCCAAAATCAATGAGGGGCATCAGCTGCTCATGACCAATCACCATGCCAAGTTTGAAGTTCCTAGGCCGAAGCGTTCTTTAGTTATTGATCAGAAACCGTTTTACTTACAATGTCAATGTGACCTTGACCTTTGACCCCTTGATCGGGTAATCTGCTGGTCATGACAAATCACCATGCCAAGTTTGAAGTTCCTAGGCCTAAGCGTTCTTAAGTTATTGATCAGAAACCGTTTTTACTTACAAGGTCAATGTGACCTTGACCTTTGACCCCTTGACCCAAAACTCAATAGGGGTCATCTGCTGGTCACGACTAATCATCATACAAAGTTTGAAGTTCCTAGGCCTAAGTTTTTAGTTAATTGATCGGAAACCGTTTTTACCTACAAGGTCAATGTGACCTTGACCTTTGACCCCTTGACCCCAAAATCAAAAGGTCATCTGCTGGTCATGACCAATCACCATACCAAGTTTGAAGTTCCTAGACCTAAGGGTTCTTAAGTTATTGATTGGAAAGCATTTTTACCTACAAGGTCAATGTGACCTTGCCCTTTGACCCCTTAACCCCAATATCAATAGGGGTCATCTGCTGGTCATGACCAATCACCATACCAAGTTTGAAGTTCCTAGGCCTAAGGGTTCTTTAGTTATTGATCGGAAACCGTTTTTACCTATGAGGTCAATGTGACCTTGACCTTTGACCCCTTGAACCCAAAATCAATAGGGGTCATCTACTGATCATGACCAATCATCATATCAAGTTTGAAGTCCCTAGGCCTAAGGATTCTTTTGTTATTGATCGGAAACCGTTTTTACCCAAGAGGTCAATGTGACCTTGACCTTTGACCCTTAACCCCAAAATCAATAGGGGTCATCTGCTGGTCATAACCAATCACCATACCAAGTTTGAAAGTTCCTAGGCCTAAAAGTTCTTTAGTTATTGATCGGAAACCGTTTTTGCTTACAAGGTCAATGTGACCTTGACCTTTGACCCCTTGACCCCAAAATCAATAGGGGTCATCTACTGATCATGACCAATCACCATACCAAGTTTGAAGTTCCTAGGCCTTAAAGTTCTTTAGTTATTGATCGGAAACTATTTTTCCTTACAAGGTCAATGTGACCTTGACCTTTGACCCTTGACCCCAAAATCAATAGGGGTCATCTACTGATCATAACCAATCACCATACCAAGTTTGAAGTTCCTAGGCCTTAAGGTTCTTTAGTTATTGATCGGAAACTGTTTTTCCTTACAAGGTCAATGTGACCTTGACCTTTGACCCCTTGACCCCAAAATCAATAGGGGTCATCTACTGATCATGAACAATCACCATACCAAGTTTGAAGTTCCTAGGCCTTAAGGTTCTTTAGTTATTGATCGGAAACCGTTTTTGCCTACAAGGTCAATGTGACCTTGACCTTTGACCCCTTGACCCCAAAATCAATAGGGGTCATCTACTGGACATGACCAATCACAATACCAAGTTTGAAGTTCCTAGGCCTAAGGGTTCTTTAGTTATCACTCGGAAACCATTTGGTCTACGGACCGACGGACCGACAGACCGACGGACCGACAAGTGCAAAGCAATATACCCCCTTTTCTTCGAAATGGGGGCATAATTATCATATTGTGTTACTGTTTCAAAGGCAATGTTTTAAGTTCAAATGAATTACAAATCCAAAATTTATATTAAATCTACTACTGTACATATTCCTTGGCCTGAAATCAATGTAATTTATTTACCCTCCCTAATGTCTACCCATAAAAATCAAAGCTATCCAAAAACTTTTAAAGCAGCATGTCTCCAGATTCATGCTTATTTTAATGAAAATTTTAAAAATGTATTTAAAATAAAAATATTGTGAAGTGAACAAAGAACATAATTAACACATTGCAAACAGCACTTGCAATCCACATAATTTACCAAACAGAGATGAAAATAAGCAAAAATAGCCCTTACTGCATTACCAACACAGTATAAATATGGTGACTTATACTGCAAAATCAGTCCTTAATCACACATAACATGTAAATTATTATTTGAATCTTTTTATTTTTCTAAAAATCCTAAATTCTTCTCAAGTTTAATTTTTTTTTGAAATATTTTAGCTCATCTGGAGGCATGCAGCTTTCGCAGCTCAATGAACTAAATTGAGACCTTTTTTATAAATCATGGAAGCAGTCTTTCAATGTGAATCATTTTGGCGTAAAAAATTTAATTGTCTTGAGTTTTTGCATGGTAAATACTAACTCAGTCAGATTTATAATATTGAAAAAGCTTTGGATCTAAATTTTGAACAGATCCTTCACAGTGCCATTATTTGAAACCCATAAGTTAACAAGAGCTGTCCGTAAGACAGCGCGCTCGACTTTTTTATTGCTTGCCAATAAAAAAAGTTTTTGCAGTAAAAGGCAATACAAGAATCTCTGTATTTTTAAAGTGAACTAGTTGTTTGATACCCTTGAATATTACAGCAATGTTTATATGACATAATTTATGGTAAAGTGAACAAGTGGATAGGAATGAATTTTTTTAGATTTTTTAAGTTTTTTAGTGCTTGCCTATAATACAAAACATTGACAGTTAAGGGCCATAATTCAAATAAAATCTTTGACAGAATTACCTTCTCCTGGACATGTTTGGGAATCATGATTGTAAACAAGTATTCCAACTTTAAAATTAATATCTCAAACAGTTCAGTCAAAAAGTGGACTGGTACTAAAAACTTAACCAAGATTCTAAGTCGATAAAAGGCCTTAATTTTTAAAACAAATCCTTGACAGAGTTACCTTCTCTTGCGTACAGATGGGGGTAATGATGTGAAATAGCATTAAAAGTTTCAAAGCAATATCTCAAAGGGTTAAGGCAATAAGTGGATTTTACCCATATTCAATGTATTTTCTAAGTCAAAAAGGGGCATAATTCTGTCAAAAACCTTGACAGAGTTATGTCCTCTTGTCTGTTGATGAAGGTCGTGATGGTAAACAAGTATGGTCAGTTTCAAAGCAATACCTCCAATGGTTTTGAAATAAAGTGAGGTGGTACAAAAAACTTAACCAAGCTCAATACACTTTCTAAGTCAAAAAAGGGCCATAATTCTGTCAAAAACCTTGACAGAGTTATGTACTCTTGTCTGTAGATGGAGGTTATGATGGTGAACAAGTATGGTAAGTTTCAAAGCCATACTTGTAATACTTCTGAAATAAAGTGGGGTGGTACGAAAAACTTAACCAAGGTGTGACGCCAACGCCGACGCCAACGCCGACGCCGGGGCGAGTAGGATAGCTCCCCTTTTCATAGAAAAGTCGAGCTAAAAAGGATTTATTCTATCATCATGCATAAACAACATTGAATTAATTTTATTGTATATAAACCACACAAACAATCAGGGAATAATTACCTGTTTTTCTTCTGCCATAAGTCAAGCAATTATGAAACATGACAGTTGATGTTTTAAAATATTTGTAGAAATTTAAGTTTTAACTATATGTCTAAAAGTAACATTGAAAAAGAATATGTATGTAAAAGTAATGTTTGGACATCATTTTGCTTGACAAAAATGGCTGAAGTAAAAGTAGCACTATCTAAACTCTTATAACAATGCTTGAATACTGGTGCCATGTGTACAGTCATATACATAATTGTGCCGCGCCATGACAAAACCAACATAATGGGTTTGTGACCAGCATGGATCCAGACCAGCCTGCGCATCCGCGGAGTCTGATCAGGATCCATGCTGTTCGCTATCAGTTTCTCTACTTGTAATAGGGTTTGTAAGCGAACAGCATGGATCCAGATCAGGCTGGCCTGGATCCATGCTGGTCGCAAACGCATTATGTTGGTTTTGTCGTGACGAGGCTCATATAATCAAAGTGTTTAGGTCAGGTTCAATATCTATATACAGTAAACCGTAGTCTCATTTGTTGTAAAATACACTGTTACAAGTCTGATACCATTATTCAAGCCATAGATTAAATCAAGTTAATCAACATGTGACTTTGACATGTCTCAAAAAAATAAATAAAACAAATAAAAGGGAGACTACTCTACCATTAGCAGGAAAAGAGTTGGAAGGATTTGGTGTGCCCTGGGAGCGCTGTGGAGAATCTCTGGCACCATCTGCAACTAGTTTGAAGAAAAGAGCGGCATCACGATGAGAACTTGACTCTAACAGGGTGAAATAAAAACCAGGAAAACACTTTCACTCTAAATGATTTTCCAAAATGAAATTACTGATTTGTTTTGGGATAAAAAACACATGAAATGAAAATTACTTTAAATAAAAGATATTTTTGAAGATTTCCCAAAGATTTATTTATTCAATATATCTAAAATTTCTATCAAAATAGTGAAATATCTATATTATTTATAATTTCATGCTGTGTGCAGGCAAAGGCAAAAGATACTGAAAAGCACCATTCTTTTTCAATAAATCTATTATTTTCACTGTAATATTTCTACTGACAAACTTCTGCTGGTGTCAGCTGCAGGCATTTGAAGCATTAGCAAGAAACAAATAATAAAGGATGCATCAGAGAGGCACACCAAGAAATGATTTTCAACAAGAAAGATAGAAAAAAGAGAGTATTAATAAAAAACAAATTCTATATATCATTTTATGGGAACCAAAATATTTCAATTGATAATGCTTTTGAAAGTATTTCAGCTTTTTTATTGTTTCACATTCATTAGGAACTAATTTACCAAAAATACATGCAGACACACACTAACTAAATCACAGTCTTCAAACTTAAAAAACTTTTCCAAATAAAGCAAATGGAAAATGAAATGTAAACCAGCCTTAACTTTAAAATCAAACAATATACAAAGAAGCAAGCCAAGTCAATTTTGATAAGAGGACAGTGAAGAGTTACTAAACATTCAGCTGGGAAAATAATCCGCTTTTGTGGGTACTTAGAAGAAAATGTTTACAGGTTTTTCTTCTATGTTTAGCTCTGGTGATCCAAGAAAAGGACCAACTGGTATTATATATATATAATTTGCAAATAAGGCAACCATAAGCAAGCTTAACAGCAAAAGTGAAATATGATCAGTAGTTTCTCAGATGGTAATCAAAACAGTATCCCAACTACCAAACTAATATGTCACATCAAACTGTCATTTTCTAGAGTTAAACATGCTGTCAAATGCTTTTTTAAGAATCCCTATGTATTAAGAAATTCTATCATGGGCACATCTGCACTTTCACATACTTAAACAAGAGGGCCATGATGGCCCTGAGGTCGCTAACCTGTATATAGGCCCCCACAACCCCCCCCCCCCACAACGTTGCAGGGCCAATTTAACCCAAGGGCTTTTATTTGCACAAACTTGGTAGACACCCATCAGAAGATGTTTCATGCTAAACATCTAAGCTCTAGCTCATTGAGCTTTTTAAAAGAAGATTTTTTTAAAGTTTTTACTATACACATATAGTTAAAAACAATGACACCCCTGGGGCCGTGCCAGGGCTTTTATTTTAACAAACTTTGTAGACACTTACTAGAAGATGTTTCATGCTAAATATCTAAACTCTTGCTATTTGGGTTTTTTCAAAGAAGATTTTAAGTTTTTGCTATACACATATAAAGAAAATCAATGACCCCCGGGGCGGGGCCAATTTTGACCCCAGGTCTTATATTTGAACAAACTTTGTAGACACTCACTAAAAGATGTTTCATGCTTAATAGCTTAACTCTAGCTATTTGGGTTTTTTCAAAGAAGATTTTTTAAGTTTTTACTATATGCATATAGGGAAAATCAATGACCCCCCGGGACGGGGCCAATTTTGACCCCAGGGCTTTTATTTGAACAAACTTGGTAGACACTTATAAGAACATGTTTCATGCTAAATATCTTAGCTCTAACTCTTTTGGTTCTTTAAAAGAAGATTTTTTAAGTTTTTACTATATGCATATAGGGAAAATCAATGACCCCCCGGGACGGGGCCAATTTTGACCCCAGGGCTTTTATTTGAACAAACTTGGTAGACACCCATTAGAACATATTTCATGCTAAATATCTTAGCTCTAGCTCTTTGGGTTCTTTAAAAGAAGATTTTTTAAGTTTTTACTATATGCATATAGGGAAAATCAATGACCCCCCGGGGCGGGGCCAATTTTGACCCCAGGGCTTTTATTTGAACAAACTTGGTAGACACTCACTAGAAGATGTTTCATGTCAAATATCTAAGCTCTAGCTCTTATGGTTTTTTAAAAGAAGATATTTAAAGTTTTTTCTTTCGGTTGCCATGGCAACCAGAGTTCTGCATGGAATTAAATTCTTTGAACAATTTTTAAAGGTGACCCCAAAGGAACATTCCTGTGAAGTTTGGATGAAATTGGCTTAGTGGTTTATGAGGAGATGTCATTTAAAGTAAAAGTTTACGGACGGACAGACGCCGGACGGATGGACGCCGGACGAAAAGCGATCACATAAGCTCACCCTGTCACTTTGTGACAGGTGAGCTAAAAAGAGAAAGAGAGAGAGAAAAATGTAAACAGTACAACAGCAAGGCAACATACAACAGTAAACACTACATGCTAGAAAGAGGGATCACTTATTTATATATAAAGATTGCAGAATAATATATTTGTTAATGTTACTATTATACATTCATGACAACTGCAATAAAGCAGAAAAACAACATAAAACAAATCATTACACTGTATCATTATGTTAATATAGCATTATAAAACTAGATACTACTTAGAAAAGCCAGAGGCAACAATTTTTCAAATTCTAACTTTAACTCACAGTTTAATTTCTTTAATGCTAAATTTGTTTTTTTCATAAATCCATGCTGATAACTAATTACCACTTTTTCTCTTTAAGACATCAGGGAAGTCATCTGGCAGTTTCATGTCCATGGCATCACCAAGCAAGAGGGACTGCAGCATTTCTGTAAGGTTGATCTGGCTTTCAGAATCCAAATCTAAGGCTGGTTGAATGAATCTATCCCGTGATTTGTCCTGAACACCACATCCCAACAGGGCTAGCAAAAGCTTTGAAATGACAGATATAAATTTAATATTGATATCTAATCAAATATGATGTGAGGAAGAAAAAAAAATATAAAAATTCACAAGTGCAGAACACAAGTTATCTAGTTTTTCCTATCTCAATTTCTAGCTAGTCTTTATTGTTATTTATTTCACAGTGTACTTACTGTTATTATTTTACAACAACAACAACAACAATATGTTATCATTGATATTTTTAAAAGGCAATATAAGGTAACACAATCTGTATAGCAAATTTCATTTTTAACAAAGACTGTTTGTTAAGGTCACATTGCTTTCTGTATAATAGTAAGTATAGATGAAAAGTATTTATATAACATACATGTAGAATTATTATTTATAATATCAATGTTATATGTCTGCAGTAAACTACATTCTGATTCTACAGACATTTCTAAAGCCATCCTACTAATTAAGAAACCCTAACCTATTAAATAATCATTAGAATCATTGCATATTTTAATGTGCATGAACACTTATAGTAAAATACATTACCGGGTACTTAAATAAACTAACCTTTCCCATTTCTAGTTCAAATACATCTCCTCTAACTTTGCCTGCCAGTATTGAGAAATCGATCATCATCTTATCATCAAATGTTTGGTGATAGCAACCTGGATATGAGATACAAAATTATTGATAAAAACAAAGCAGCTTTATGCTTGTACATGTAGATGATAACATTTTGTAAGTCTTATGTGTCAGTTTAATCAGAAAATTTGGACAGTTTAAAAACAACATTATTTCTTAAACAAGCTTTATCTATCAAGAGGCATAGCAAGTGCCAATATGCAAGTTCCCCCCCCCCTGTGAAATATAGATTCCTATTAAAACCTTCTTTATTAGGTTATATTCATTACTTTTGATTGATCAGAAAATATGACTTAACATTATAATGTATAAAACGTCTTATCAGGACTCAATTTCTTGCATAACGTGGCTTTGTCTGTCAATCAATCAATCAATTAGATAAGAGTAAAGACTTCATGATATTATCAAGTACTTTTAGTAGTCAAGGACTATAAAATGGAATATTTAGATTATAATTATGCAATAACACCTCCAGCTTACCTTCTAGGTATGTCTTGACAACAGCCAACCTCTTCTCAAAACTGGACAGGTCAACCTCTTCAGGTAATAGGTCACTGCAAAAAATATATAAATTATGTAGTCTACAAAACATTTTACACTTACTTTTTTATCTGTTATGAATCTAGTGTATGGGAGAGAAAATTTCAGGTAAAGAAATTAATTATTAACACTCTTCATAAGCTAAATTTGAAAAACTTACCAAGTGCACATAATGTCTGTAATGACTTGTACATCTCTGAGGTCTTCAAAGTTCTTTATTGACTTTACACTAAGGGCATCAAACTGTCAAAGTATAATATAAACAATATCGGTTTTATTGGCATAAGGGAAAACTATAACATACTTAAAATGAAAATCAAGCTATAATCTTACAATAAAGTTTAGCATAATGCCAAATGTTGCATGTAACCAAATGTATGATGAATACTGATAAAAGTTGTCAAAAGAATACATTAATGTTTGTTATCTATTATTTGTTTATGGATTAAAGTCAAATTCACTTTGCACACAAATAACTATTTTATTTAATAAGAAAGATTAGATAATTGCTTACTTTTTTCTTTTTAATTATTTCAATAATAGACATTAAGCAAAACTTACCCATTTCAGAAGAGAAACTTTCTTATTGAGATCCATTCTGCCTAAGACCAATGACATCAGCAGATTACTTTCAGATTTGTATCAGCTATAAAATAAAATATAAACAAAAATACTATACAAATTTGATCAAAATAGCAAAACATATGGACAACAAAAAGAAGTTAAAATATATGATATTGTTACCCTAAATAAAAATATCATTCATGGATGCCATGAATGAGTTGTAAAGTATCTAGACAGCTGGTAGCAGTGGTTAGGTATGTATAGCTACTGCTTGCCAAAATTTTTAGATATATGTGAGTCATGCAGGACTAGCCTATATGCACTGCTTTGGCTTGCCGTACGGCTACAGATTATGAATACAGATACAGAATACAGATTATGCAAAAACTTTGTGTTTCTGAAAGAAAATGTTACTGATATCATGAAAACCTTTATCATTACAGTTGGTATTTTAATGTGTTAGCTTTTGATGATTAGTAGTTTTTCCTCTGAAAATCACCTTGGAGTTAAATAATCAAATATCAAAAACTGAAAAATTATTAAATAATTTCTAAGACATGGACAAAATTAGATGTTATTATTGGTAAATATAACATGTGGGTCAATTTCCAGCAAAGTATTTAACAATTATAACTTTTAAATTACACTTGAACACGTTTAGCGGCATTGAGAATTTCAAGCTAGACCTTGAGTAGATGTGTGTGACCCACGCAAGGCTATAACTTTAGGCTAGCAATATGTCATAGTAAATAATTGTAAAAGCGACATATAAAGTTATGGAAGTCAGATCCACAGGAGCTCCTGTGGCCAGAACTTTCATAGAATAACAGAATCTACTTCATTGATCAATTCATTTATCTGTTATGTTTTGTAAGACAATCAAAAACTGAAAATAACATAATTTACAAAACTTATTACGTTCAGGTTTATGGGCAAATAGAGTTCGTGCAATTTATGCTTTACGAATAAAAACTAGACAGACCACTTCTCTGCTCTGATCTGCATCATTTGTCCTATATATATGACGTCGCGTTCTAGATATTTTGCCTTCTGGTAAGGCTATTTTTATTTTTCTGGTCCTTTCGGGATCATTGATGCCAGCACTATTGAGTGTTGAAGAATTGAGTACCGCTCAAGCCGGTGCTAGGGGTGTGACAGATGTTGCACATATGGGATATTCATCATCCTAATACAGACTCCAATCAAACTGAGTCTGCAATTCCTTGTAATTTTGGTGTGATTAATGCTTCCGAGGGATCAATTTGTTTCCAGATTTTTATACTTCACAACAGTAGGTGTCAAGTGCTGTGTAAGCAGCTGTAAAAAAAGTTCCCTCCGTACTTCACTTCAAGTGTTGTTTTTGTTATATTTTTTCCGATCCTTCGGGATCATTGATGCCAGCACTATTGTAGTGTTTGAAAAATTGAGTACCACTCAAACGGTGCTAGGGGGGCGTTAGGGGATGCTGCACATATTAAGTTATCCCGCGCATGTACAGACTCGAGCAAACCCAGTCTGCATATTCTCCCTTGTAATTTTGTTCGATTAATGGTTCCAAGGCGGTACAAAAGTTAACCCGGCCCCAAATTGGTCAACCCGGCCCCCCAAACCAATTGTTATTTCTGGTCAACCACCGGCCCCCATTTTCCATTTTGGGGCCGGTCTTGACCAAATTTTTGAGGCCGGGTTGACTTGGGGCCGGGTTGACTGTAAATTCGTTCCGAGGGATCACTTTGTTTCCAGATTTT